TAACAAATATGACGGCGTTGCCGCGTTTTCGGTTTTTAGGTAAACGTACTTTATAGGTATTGTTCGAAGTTATCGCCGATTCAAAAACACAGGTGCGTGCACGACGTAGCCAAGCATCGGTGCAGGCTTTGAGAATGGAGTCCCTCCCCCGAATGAAAGCACCAGCTTGTTCAATTCTGAGACGAAGTTCGTCAACCGTATGCACTTCAGTTTTGTACACTAAGCGTTTCATTTCTCCCCAAAGAAAAAAATCATATCGTGTTAAGTCTGGAGATCGTGGAGGCCACGCTACGGGTCCATTACGTCCGATCCACCTATTCGGAAATAATGCATTCAAAAACTCACGCACTTCGCGTCTAAAATGGGGCGGTGCACCATCGTGCAGAAACCACATTGATTGTCTTACACTTAATGGCACATCTTCTAACAAGGAAGGCAAAATGTTGCGTAAAAAGTCTAGGTATTGAATCCCGTCCAATCGATTTGGGAGAATAGATGGTCCAATGAGCATACCGTTCACCATGCCAGAATGAAAACATTTCACGCAGAACCATTTATCGAACAATAGCAGAGTGTGAGGAGGGAATGCCATTCTGAATCTCCTTGGAAGACCACGTGCACTTACTGCACAGAGGTCAGAAAGATTGATGAGAAGAGAAAAAAGAGAAAAAAATCAGGTATCTAGGAATGTCCAGAAGGAAACTGGCTCGTCGATACAGATCTAAGAGTAGAGACATACATGAATACAACGACCCTATTACACGAATGTTGAATGTTCTTGGAAATTTGACAAATAATCCCGCCAATTAAATCTTAATTGGTACTTAAATCAAGTGAGCGAGTCTAAAAATGAAAAATCCCTACATTGATATAGAATCTTTTGGCAATAATATGCATACGATCGAAAATAAAATTGAGGATGATGTAACGAGCTTTTTTCACCGTCAAATCGAATGAAAAGTTACAACGCTAATATCTGCAATGTTTACACAGACGAAAGTGAATATTTCTAAAAATAACCGGGGTACCTACTTCTGAAATGTTGCAAATTATGATCATGGTCACTAATACATTACCGGGTAATAATAGTTTATTGAATCTTCGCGAAAATGTATATCAGCCTAAAATGACGCCGCTGAAACTTTGTGGGAATTGGATCTCGACTATTTTTTTTTAATTTAATGTGTTATAGAACAAAAGTAGATATGTATATATGGACTAATAAAATTTAAATAAAAAAATCCAAGTCTTTTTTGGTGTATATAAAATTACTGAATGATTTGACCACAAACGGCACTACTCCTGTGCAGGTTGAATTCAGTTCAAGGTCAGTTTTAGGTGAAACTTCGAAGTTTACAAAGTATTGAATCAGATAAGTATCCGACATTTAACTATCATGCTTATAGGTTTCTTGGGTCACTTTGTCCGAATCTGAGGTCTTTTTGTCCGAATCAGTTATTTGAAGTGCGTTTTGCGGTCATATCAAGGTCACTCCAACGTCAAATGGCGATAAATCGAATATGTTGTACGTAGATTGTGCGTGTCGCTGAGTTCCAATTTAAGGTCGGTTTATCTGCATCAGGTCATTTGAAGGGCGTTCCGAGGTCATCTCAAGGTCAAATTGAGGAAATGCTGGACGTTCAAATATGTATACATGTAGGGGTCGCTGGGTTCCAATCTGAGGTCGGTTTGTCCGCATCAGGTCATTTGAAGGGTTTCGAGGTCAACTCAACGACATTTAGAGGTCAAATTGAGAAAATGCTGGTAAATTAAAAATGCTGTACGTAGGTTATAGGGGTCGCTGTGTTCCAATCTGAGGTCGCTTTGACTGTATCAGGTCATTTGAAGAGCGTTTTGATGTCATTTCAAGGAAGTTTCAAGGTCAAATTTAGAAAATTCCTGTAAATCGAGTATGCTGTACTTAGATTGTAGGGGCCGGTGAGTTTCAATTTGAGGTCAGTTTATCTGCATCAGGACATTTAAGGGGCGCTTTGAGGTCATTACTAGGTCAAGTTGAAAAAGTGCCTTTAAATCGAATATACTGTACGTAGGTTGTAGGGGTCGCTGAGTTCCAATCTAAGGTCGGTTTGTCTGCAAAAGATCATTTAAAGAGAGATTCGAGGTCATTTCAAGGTCAAATTGAGAAAATGTTGGTAAATAGAATATGCTATACGTAGGTTGTAGGGGTCTCTGAGTTCCAATCTGAGGTTGGTTCATCTGCATCAGGTCATTTGAAGGACGTTTTGAGGTCTTTTCAAGGTCAAATTGATAAAATACCAGTAAATCGAAAATGCTGCAGATAGGGGTCGCTGAGTTCCAATATAAGGTCGATTTGTCCGTATCAGTTCATTTGAAGGACATTTTAAGGTCATCTCAAGGCCATTCCAAAGTCAAATTGAGAAAATTCCAACAAATCGCATATGCTGTCGGTGTCTCTGTGTTCCTATCTGAGGCCGGTTTGTCAACGTCAAGTCATTTGAAGGACCTTTTGAGGTCATTTCAAGATCAAATTGAGAAAATGCCGGTAAATCAAATATGCTCAACTTAGGTTGTAGGGGTAGCTGAATTCCAATATGAGGTGGGTTTGTCTGTATCAGGTCATTTGAAGGGCATGTCAAGGTCATTTCAAGGTCACATTGAGCAAATACCAGGAAATCAACTCTGTCTGGTATTTTTGAAATGGCCTTAAAATTATCTCGAAACGCCCTTCAAATAACCTGATACATACCATATATTCTCAGCATCATCATATCTCTACTGACCAGTTCATATTCAATCACATGCACGTGTATGGATGGAATATTACTCAGAAGCACAAGCTTTTTCAAAAACTGTATCTTTCACCGTCCCTGTGGGAATACATTTCATGGATGTTCAGGATCGCACAAGCTTGTCCTATCACTCACCTGGATACCATAGTTATTCTTTATGCATATCCAAACTTTTTATTACATATTTGGATACACCTAACTGCATCTGCGTTTTATCAAGTTTCTTTTGAGACATAATATACAGGGTGTCCCAATATTCCTGAGCCATCTAGCAAAACACATAGTACCCAAGTTTCATTCAAATCGGACTGTGGGTTCTAAAAATATCTGAAAAAATGTGTGTTGAAAAGAAAAAATTGGTTACGGAATATTGGGACACCCTGTATGCTATCTGAAGATCATAGGAGTAGGCCAATCATAATTTTAATAGAGAAAATGACAAATATGCATTGTAAAATACATTTTCCTGATAACCCATTCTTACAGTACTCTGTCTCTTAGCGGTGGAGGGTAATTGCCGCCATACTTTTATTTTATGTTGGACACAGAAACATTATAAGTAACATTCGTTTTGCAAGTGAAGTGAGACTTTCTTAACAAAGATAAGGCTGTCAAATCGGTGAATATCAAAATATAACCTACAAAAATGATATTTTTTAAATATATCATGAAGCTGTTACACACAAGACTAAAGAAACCAACTACCACTCACCTTGCAGCATATATATCGTCGCCTGATACTCCGCCAATTTCTCATCCACATAATCCTGACTCTGATTGGCTATAATCTCCGCCGTAGAGGGCCCCGATTCCTCGTCGTCGTCCGGCAGCGCGTAACCCCTAGGCGGAGGTGGTGCCGGAGGCTCAAGCGACGTGCCCACGTACTCGAAATCACGACTGGGCGGTCCGAAGAATACGGGAGAACCGAGCGACGCAGGCGATTGGTCGAACGCCCTCGTAGGCGGTCCGAACGGCGTTGGGGATTCGACGTACGCGCTGGGCCGCGGTAGCGGTGGAGAGTAAGGGGCGGGGCTATACACGTGCACGCCTCGGAAGTAGGCGGGGTCCACCGCGGATGAAGTGGGGGAAGACATCGAAGGCGGCGCTGGAGAGGGCTGGAACAGAGAAAAACCATGTTAATGTCAAGAGAGACAAGTAATATTGATTGAAAAGCGTTTAATTGTTTAAAAATGTGTTGAATAAATTAATTACTTTCCTAAAATTTCCGTTCTTAAAATAATTCATAAAATAAAATAAAATTCTAGTGGTTCAGATGATATAAGTTTGCAGATGTTACTGCGATCTATATCAAAAATTGATGTATACTTAATACATATAATCAACTGCTAGTTAGAGAGGGGATATTTCTCAGATCAGTGAAAACACGCTATAGTTGTTCTGCTACCTAAGTGGTCTGACCCTACTATCTATGATGAACTGAGACCGATCAGTTTACTATCTGCTTTCTCGAAAGTATTGGGACGGGTTGTTTACGAGCAGCTCTGTGCCTACTTATATTCTAACAAAATTATGCCATCTAAATAATCTGGCTTTCGACAATATCATAATATAGGCACTCTGCGATTTAACAGTGGCGCTTGAGAACCAAAGAGCTGTAGCAGCTCCCATATTTCTTGACTTCACTAAAGTATTTACACAATTACTCATTCATTTCTTGCATCTAAGTGCAATTATTATGGATTTTCTGAAAAACCACTTTCGTTTATTCAAACCTACCTTGAAAATTGGTTTCAAAAAGTTCGTCTAAATCAACAGTACCCTACAGCACAAAAATGTTTTCTGGTGTACCACAGGGGGTCTTAGGGCCCCTGTCATTTTCATTATGTATCTCAGATTAAGAAACAGTAGTAAGACCATGCAGCGTACAATTTTTTTGCAGATTTTCTTTTCACTTAGGAGTAATGACTTGGATACAGCGAATAATAACATTAACCAAGGTCTTATACCAAAATAAAAAGTTCAATAGTAGCCATAATCTCCGTTTGAACTCTTTAAAGACAAATTGTGTGATAAGTGTTAACTGAGCTTATGTTTTCCTTATCTCTTTACATTAATCATGCTTTATGAATGTCGTTATCATATACATATAGTATAAATCTAGCCCCCTGTAATGCTATTATAAATAAAAAGACCTTCATTATTATTATTATCATCTCGCACATACCAAAAATATAAACACTCGTAATACTCATATATACAACAGACAACAAACATGTTTCTTTAAGGCTAGATTTTCATACAGGATCTTGGTAGCTTACTCATTAGTCAGTATTGTCATTTTGATGTAAGTCATGAAGGCATAAAACAATGCTTCTTAAAGTATTTTTGGTCTTGATAACAGTTTTTTCTGCTCTCGGTAAGTTTATTGTTGCACAATATCATTGGACGCTTCGTTTATGATATTTTCTTCAAGAAATCGAAGCTTTAGGTAGTGACTCCAGAAACGACGAAGGCAAAATAAACGTGGTTCTATTCTTCTCGAATGGAGATTCCCCTGCAAAGTCTCAAAGTGGTGTGCAGCGCTTGGGCTTGGAAGAGAAAACTAGAGTAAAAGTAAGTATTTCTGAAAACTTCAGGACTTCGTTACACGAACACGTTTTAAAATATTGGAAATATAACTTATCTAGTATGAAAGAAAGGCACTTAGATATGACACCCATATTGTATTTGATTTAAGAAAAATTATATTAAGCATCATTTACTTTACACAATTATCAATTATACTTCGAAGTTGAGTCATTTATTTTAACAGTGAGTAGATCTGATCAAAAGAAATGTTTTTTCCTTTACCATTTTTCTGGTAAAATTGAAGTAACAAAGTTATAGCCCTTTGGAAGTTTGAGTACCGCCCTGTCTCAATAATAATATTATGTGCTCGTGTTTGGCGACAACGGATATAATTCGCCTTATCGGTTCATCGCATCGGAAACAAAAAAGCGAAAGAATTTGGAACGATGTTTTTACAATTATTTCATTCAGTTGTAAACAGTCAGTGTCAGTCGGTAGTGGATAGTGGTGTCTGTTGCGCGGTTCAAACGAAATAAAAAATGGCACATGTTTATGCGGATCGGTTCCCCAATCGAGTGCAACCAACCCCTCATGCCTTTGTTAATGTAGTACAACGGGTTCGTGAATCATTTGACTTAAGACCTCACATATGGACGGCATGCCGGTGCTCCAAGACCTCACGATCAAATACAGGTCCGCACTGAAATACTTGTGGGGAGGATACTTTATAAAACAAGGTAAATTTTTTTTTTCAATTTTTTTTTATTTTTACACACATATTTTGGTTTATCTTCCTTCTACAATCATTATCTGAAAATTAATGACTCAACTTCAAAGTATATTATTATTAGTATGGAGATTTTAGGACATATTTCCGGAGAGTCTTACGCCTTGTGTATAAAAGTGTTTTTAATTTTTTTTAGTTTAATTCTATCCCCCATCGAGTCCACCCTTACGTGGCTCAAAGAAATACTCAAAATTGCAAGGAGCTCTTGAGAAATGGTATCCAGTCTTTAGTCCATTTTTGTCAGACTGCACTTGGGATGAAGTCAGGTAATTGTCATCTGTCAGAAGGAGCTTTGATGTTTCAATGTATAGCAATAGCTTGGTCATAGAAATCTTAGCATTTAGTGACACGATAGACTCGAAAAAAAAAAGATAATTTCTTAGATAAAATTGTAACCGAATTTCAAGCTGGTTTCAGGAAGAAATACTCGACGGAAACGGCAATACAAATGGCTTTGGGGGATTGGAGGAGATGTATGGACAATAGGAAACATACAGTGACAGTGTTTTTGGACTCCAAAAGCACGTTTGAAACTATTGACAGGGATAAATTGCTTACAAAATTGCATCACTATGGATTTAAAGGATCTGCATTAAAAATTCTACAAAACTACTTAGATGATAAAAGTCAAAAAACCAAAATTGGATCTACATTATTAAGCTCAAAAAATATTTCTGTTGGTGTACCACAGGGTCCACTATTACTCATTCTATACATTAATGACATTTGTGATCTCTCTCTATATATATATATATATATGTATATAGTATTCATAGTTAAATGCCTTAACTGTTAGGAGAAGATATCCTTTAATTTCTTTGGGTAGAAGGCAAAATATTGCAAAAGTACACTCTTATAACTTAAACTCTCAAGCTTTCGAAGATCTATGTCTTCATCGTCTGGAGCTAGAAACTATGATTGACAATAGCAACAAATAACAATTATGAGAAAAATATTTACTTACTAAGTCGGCGAGGTTGTTGCTGAAATTGTTTTTAAACAACAGTGAAGGGAACACATAGTTGACGAATAAAAAACTAGACTGATGAGGTTCGATTAGGGCGGAAATATTTTATTATTAAATGGCAAATCATTTTGGATGTTTTTTTTTTAACTAAACGTTGCTTGATTTTGGAAGAAATTTGGAGATTTTAAAACTATCAACTATTGAAATCTCGAAGGAATTCCCTTCACTTTTGTTTAAAAACAATTTTAGCAACAATCTCGCCGACTTAGTAAGCAAATATTTTTCTCCTAATTGTTATTTGTTGCTATTGTCAATAATTGTTTCCAGCTCCAGACGATGAAGACATAGATCTTCGAAAGCTTGAGAGTTTAAGTTATAAGAGTGTACTTTCGCCTTCTACCCAAAGAAATTAAAGGATCTCTTCTATATACTTATATATATATAGAAGATATATATATATATATATACGGGTGTAACCTGAGGAAACAAAGATGGAGAGGTAAAAAATCACACACGAAGTCCGGACGTATGGGCATGTGTATCTACTTTTGTAGTTGCATATGTGCATTCATTTCGGGCCTGATGAAGCCAACCAGCAGAAATACTTATCGCTCGGGTTACCTATCCTATTTTCTGCTTGAATCCACTTTCCTATTTTTGTTTTATACATTTCTCCGCATGATTATTTTCTATTTATATATATCTACTCGTATACGTGGATCCTAATAAATTTATTGTAAAGCTCATACAAGGTGTCATATGGATTATTTGTTTGAATGTTTTTGGGTTCACTGCGGAATAACTTTGAACTGATGATTCTTTTGATAGCATCATGGAGGCACATGGAAATTTTCAGACCATTGTAAATAATTAAATCTTCCAAGTGTTGATTTAGGTATTAATTGAAAATCTTGTTTTCGTCTAATCTCGTAACTTATATTTCAGGTTTCAAATTTAGATTAATTTTCCAAAATATGAGTTGCTGTCTCAAAATTGAACAATGATGCGATAGTAATTATCTTAAGATTTTGAAGGTCTACGTGTAGCTCTATGATTGCTTTTAGTTATACAGGGTGTCCGCAAAGTTGGGGTTTTCCTTTTCAGAAACAACTACCCTTGAAATAACAAAGGTAATGTGTAGTGAAACGAGGGCGACCAAGTAAAAAAAAATAAAGAAAAAAGTACTCACTCTCCAGTTGACGAGAAGGGCTAAGTACGTCTCTACCCGAAATCATACCGCTCCAACAGAAAATGAAATCAGATGATGCGCTACCGAGCAGACGCCGGTGGTGGTGCAGACCACGAACAGAGGTAACAAATATGACCATCGTGCAGAAACCACATTGATTGTCTTACACTTAATGGCACATCTTCTAACAAGGAAGGCAAAATGTTGCGTAAAAAGTCTAGGTATTGCATCCCGTACAATCGATTTGGGAGAATAAATGGTCCAATGAGCATACCGTTCACCATGCCAGCCCAAAGATTCACCGAAAATGTTTGATGAAAATGTGCCCGACGGACAGCGTGCGGATTTTCTACTGACCAAACATGAGTGTTGCGAAAGTTCTTCACCGCATTACGCGTGAACGTAGATTCGTCTGTCACCAATATGCACTTCAAAAAGTCCGGATTATTGTCATGTTGATGCAACAACCACTCACAAAATCGCAATCTTGCTGGAAATTCGTCAGGTTGAAGGGCTTGTACACGTTGGACGTGAAACGGATACAGCCCCTCTTCACGCAGCGTTTGCCACACTTTAGTTTTTGATACTTGCACTTCTCTAGCCACGTCTCTAGTGCTTGTTGTTTTTTGAAACGCAATCGATTATACGGGTTCGTTTACCTTTACACGCATGACCGTAACCGTCGGTTGAAGGTTGCATACTGACCTGACACACTGACCCCGACCCCCGACCCAGTTCTGTCGTCGGGTTGAGCTAGTGTCCTAGTACCAGTTGGGGATGTCGCGAGTCGCGGCTACAGGACGGTATTCAGATATTTTTGAAGTTGCAGAGCCCTTTATCTCGGTTCCCTTCAGACATTGGTGTATATGGTACTAAGAATAATTGCTTATGTTTTCAAGATCTACACGTCGTGTAAAGGAAAACCCCAACTTTGCGGACACCCTGTATATCTAAGAGATCGTTTTTGAAGTATGAGCACCTTTTTCAAGTAGTTTTGGCTGTGCTTTTTTCTACGTTATAACTTATTGTTCTTATGATATGGGAGACCTTTGTCAATTAGTTTGTCTCAAAAATGTAATGCTGCTTAATTCACGCATTCAAAACACATACATTTTGTATTTTTTAAATTATTTTATTATACATATATATATATACAGGGTCATTTATTTTAACAGTGAGTAGATCTGATCAAAAGAAATGTTTTTTTCCTTTACCATTTTTCTGGTAAAATTAAAGTAACAAAGTTATAGCCCTTTGGAAGTTTGAGTACCGCCCTGTCTCAACAATAATAATATTATGTGCTCGTGTTTGGCAACAACGGATATAATCCGCCTTATCGGTTCATCGCATCGGAAACGAAAAAGCGAAAGAATTTGGAACGATGTTTTTACAACTATTTTATTCAGTTGTCTACAGTCAGTGTCAGTCGGTAACGCGTGAGTGAATAGTGGTGTCTGTTGCGTGGCTCAAACGAAATCAAAAATGGCACATGTTTACGAAAATGCTGAATTTGTGGACATGATTCTTATTTAGCACGATCAAATACAGGTCCGCACTGAAATACTTGTCGGGAGGATACTTTATAAAACAAGGTAACATTTTTTTTTAATTTTTATTTTACTTTTACACACATATTTTGGTTTATCTTCCTTCTACAATCATTATCTGAAAATTAATGACTCAACTTCAAAGTCACCCTGTATATATATATATATATATATATATATATATATATATTAATTAATTAATTTTATTGCTTGTATATCGTTGTCAAGTTTTGTTTTAATTTCATTTGTATCTGTTTCTTATGTTATCGTCAACAAAAGCTATGAATTAGCGATCTATGTTTACATTTATTAAATGGTTGATATACACTAAGAATTGAATCGGACCCAGTACTGACCCTTGAGGTACACCTGCGTTTATTTTCAATTTGTTTAAAATACAACCTCTTGATAAATAAGCGTAGGTATTTAATTCATATGATCGACAGAGAGTTTTATTTTCTAGCTGTTGCATCGGTATCTATCCATGAAATAACGAAAGATATCAGTGCACAAGAGGCTGAAGTACCACACGAAATTCGCGTACGACAAACCTCGATGAATAGATTTCAAAGGTGAATATCAGGATTTTGAAACATATGATAGGAAAAAGTATAGACTCCATCATAGAAGCTAGATCAGAAATACTCCAAGGGTTCAGGGTTTTTCCTATCAACCTTTAATTAAAAAATCATTTAAACTCGTTTGAAACAATCTTGATTTCCTTTCAAGGCAGTTTGTGAGAACAGACCCAAACAACAGAGGGCTGAGACGTATACAAAAAGCCCATTTGAAAAATATAGTCACTTCTCCGGCTCACAAAGAGGTTTTCAAAATCAGAGTTAGAAGAAACGCGTTAAACGGTAATATCGAAAGAAAAATGCATCCAATTAGAGATATAAATCTAGAGAAGTCAAGAGACGGTCACGCATGGGATATTTTCGATGTTATGCAGCATGTGAGGTATTCCTTCTTTGGGAAACTTTTCGAAGACGGTAAGAATCGGTTTTTTGTCAAAACACGTCGCCACGATGACATTCTTCGTACCATAGCAAACATGTATTTTTTTATTGCATATAAGGTTTCGATTGGGAATTGTTCAGATATTTAATGAAATGTCCAACTTTGACGGCTCACAATTGGTACATGTTCGCTTTCAACATTCTTTAAAGTAGCTTTCATTATTTTGAGGATGAATGTTATCAGGGTACCTGTAACTTTTCATCAATGGATCATCTTGGTTTTTCTGTACTGTGCAATATCTTGATAATTGCGCACATGACGAGTACTCATAAGATCTTCAATTGTAGCGCCCTTCGTTATCATACCTTGTGACTACATTTATATCTTTATGAGTTGGCTTAAAGTTTGATTAACATCGATTTTAAGCTGATCTGAAAAAAAAACTGAAAACCTCCTATTCATACGTACATTCAAAACGCAAAATGTACTTTTTTCGTAAATTTCAAATGGAACACACTGTAGATTTCAACATCATTAAATAGCTTTAATGGAAGCTTTTTTTGATATAAGGCTTGTACCACCTTTTTCGAACAGTTTTCGGGTTATTGTTATAATTCCATAAAGAATATATTTAACAAAAAAACGATGTAGAAATATACAGGGTGTTACACTGAAATTTTTTGATAAAAGGTACATTTTGCGTTTTGGGATACCCTGTAAAAATTGAAAGAAATCAAAGTTGGGAATTTTTTCAGGCATTTGGCCAAATATCCACACAATTGTTTATCGAAACCATATGATAGGTATATAATATCAAACTTCTTGTTTTTATATACTCTGTTCAAATATGTAATAAAATATATTGTGTTCTATACTAAGTGACATATAAATCCGAACACCCAGTTTAAATGGTTTTATTTTAATAAAAGTTGGTGAATGTATTTATCTTACTGTAAATAACAAGTGAAAAAATTTTCAGCCTTATCAGTTGGACATTCCGGTTTTTATACTGCTTTTTTTTAATTCACTAACGCTCTAAAAATGAATATTTCAGCCGCAGTAAAGAATCAACGTTGGCGGATTTTGGTTCTTGACATCCTTTACGATCGGTTACGATGCCTAGAGTACGGAGACCTGTACGATTTCGTCAACTTAGTGAGTTTGATAGGGGCCGTATAGTGGGACTTCGGGAAGCTGGACTTTCTTTTCGGGCAATTGCAGTTAGAGTGCAAAGAAGTGGAGACACTGTGGTTAGGTGTTGTCAGGCATGGCTTCGAGAAGGCCGTACGCAAAGAGCAAGTGCCCCGCCGCCGCCGCCGTAGAACAACAGACCGTGAAGATCGCCGCCTAAGATTATTGGCCTTAAGGGACCGTTTCTCCACTACCAGGTCCATTGCAAATGAATGGTTTGCAGAACACGGAAGACCTACTGGCATGCGAAGTGTTTACCGACGAATGAGAAGTTTTAGCTTGTTTTCATACCGGCCACACTAGGTCCTCCCTTTAACTCGAGAACACCGACGTAATCGCCTTGAGTGGTGCAGACAACGGTCACTCTGGGATCAGGAATGGAACAGTATTGTCTTTAGTGACGAGTCTCGATTTTGTTTAGGCATGCACGATGGTCGTGCCAGGGTTAGAAGGCGACGTGGTGAAAGGAGGAATCCATAGTGTTTTGTTGAAAGACGTGTTCATCACACTGTTGGGGTGCTTTAGCTTATGGTTCCAGGTCACCTTTAATCTTCATCAGAGGTAACATGAACGCTCAGCGTTATATCCACGAAGTTCTAGAACCCCCATGGCCACGAAGATCTCCCGACTTATCCCCAATTGAGCACGTGTGGGATATGATGGGTAGGAGATTGCTCAATTTGCAACGTCCTCCTCAGACTCTAGAAGCACTTCGAGAGGAGTTGGTGGTTGCCTGGAATGATATACCACAGGAGGACATTGACCACCTGATCAGAAGCATGCCTAGGCGCGTTGGAGAATGCGTAGCACATCAGGGTGCATCCACACATTACTAAAGGTCAAATGGCTTTAAAGCAGTGCAATCATTTTGAAATTTTTATCATTTACTTATTATGCTTCATTAAGTACTTATACAAAATTTTATTAAAATAAAACCATTTAAACTGGGTGTTCGGATTTATATGTCGCTTAGTATATTTCAAAAATATATGATTGCTATGACACAAAGGTATGGAACATCCTGTATATATTAGAATAATTTTAAAATATGCACTAGTAACATACCAAGGTTGCCAAGAAAACAGATTTTTGATATATTTTCCAGTTTGCTCAAAAAAAAATATTTTCATTGGGACACCCTGTATAATGTGGTTTTGATTCGACAAAACATTCGAGTCCTATAAAGATATTTCAGATCAAATCTAAGGCTGCTACTGATTATTCGCTACTGTCGTTTTCTGTCAACTTTTTCTACCTCGGATTGCTTTCCACATGGATCGTGCTGATTATTGCCAACAAACACGAAACCGCGCCGTACTCATTTGATTTTAGATTGTTTGTCAAAAAACGTGGCAACAAAGGCCCTAAGAAATATTCATGTTATCTTACAGAAATCAAGAAAAATGAATTTAGCCCTTCTGTACAGAAAGGAATGGAATCGATGAAACTACCGAAACTTGATCCAGGTCTATTTGAGACTGTAAAGTCTACTTTGAGCAGTCTCCAGGAAACTTCAGACCCATTTTTGATGGTCATATTTGGCGGACACCTTTCTGAGATTGGTGATCCTCACAGTGCCCTGGTAAGGTCATAGTACACGTAAGGTGACCTAGGTCACGTCTTGACCCCCATCTCCTTCTGTCACTGTGTACAGAGAAAACCAAATTATTCTGTTGACTTCAATGATTCATTGATTTCAATCTGCTTTTTTGACAAAAAAAAACAACTGCCAGTTATCAATAAGTAAAAACGCCCTCAGAAGTGATGACACATTCAATGTTTTATTAATTTTAGAAAAATCATGATTGCATAGTTTGTAAACGACGCTATTTTGTATATTATATATTAACGTGTATGTCTAGCTTTACACACACCCTTCAACTGGATAGATACACCATCACACATGCCGCTATACAACTGGCTTTTTTTGTTTATGATAAACCGTTGGGAGGCTACCGAGGAATGCGAACAAAGAGAAGAAGGGTTACTGGCGTCTGGTTCATCAGAAGAGATTTCATACCAATTATTGATTTCTACATAGTAACACTTGGCCATACAGCAAACGTGTTTATACAGGGTGAACCAGATTATTATTTTTACTGTCCAAGCGATATATACGACTAATAGCATTTTCTGGAAAATATTGCTGCTTAACAAATAGATGCTTTCGCGTTCCACTCATTGGCAATAAACCACCTGTCGTTCTGGTTTCCTTGATACTGCGCAATCTAAATAACCGATATACGGATTCTAACAAAGGTCAGAATCTTGAGAATAAGAGTTATTTCACTTGTCATTCTCACGGTTCATATCATTTGGTTATTAAAAACTGCTCAAAATTGGCAGAATATATTTTTCATGATAAATGGGCTACCTCGTCTCTTATAAATAAAATGGTCGCAGAAAACGTAGTTAGTGGAATTAGAAATTAGTGGCTATCAATTGCCATTACATGACTCTGTAAGAATTTGAGCGTTTTAAAGATAAACTTTCACATCATTCCAGAGGAAAATTTCATCTGTCAATATACATTCCCTCACTGTGTATGGAATTACATTGCGCTTCTAGTCCACGGCATGCGCTGCAATCCCCCGCTATGCACTTCGCTCCTGCCGTTCTCGAATGAAATTCAGTAGAGGTTTTACAAGAGTGTCCAATTGAAATGTGGTTGATTATAGGTTCAAAGCGTTAAACACGTGACAGAATCTACGAATCCTGAAAACACTTTGATAGTCCTAACAACATCATGTCCAGAAACCAGCGGCGCGGATCATCCGGAAGTTATTCAGATCGACGAAAATCCTGCTCTAAAGCATCAACGGTGCCAGGATTTTCCTGTTTTCGCTAAAGGTAATCCTCAGACCATTTTAAACATGCTTCCCTCTATTTCCATTTTTATCTTCCCTTTCCCTGTTCTTCCTTTCCATGCAATGTGTTTCATATTGGCCCCAACATTGATGACCTTCGGCACGTAGTTTCCTCGTTATAAAACCGCTTATACTCATATAATCCAGAAAGTGATCAAAAACATACTGCATGGCCACTGCGACCACCAGATTTGACCCCTATGGAGTCGCAAAGTTTATTACAGTATTAAAAGGAATATCACTGATTTGGAAAATCTCATAATTCGAGGTATCATTTTAGGTCCGAAAAGCGATAAATTGTCTTATGTAGCAGAATTGCACGAAATACCAGCGGCGGTAAAAGATGCCTTGCAAGAAATATCGCCGAATTTCGGAGGTAAGCTATGTGTTTCAGCGGTAAAACTATGGAATGAACTAAATTTCATCTCAAAAAAGAACAGGGAAAATTACGAAGATTCATGTTTGGCTTATCTCCTAGTTACGCTGGAATAATTAATGAACTAAGAACGTGGTCCTAAAAGTGATCCCTGGGGTACACCCTCATTGTAGTATCTACTATTAACGTTCAACGTTATACATTTTTCTTCTGTAGGTTATAAACAGCATGGATTTTTTACTAAGCGATCCACAGTAACCGATTTAACAATATTTACTCAGTTCGCTATTGAATTTGTCGATCAGCAAGGTCAAATAGATACTTATGGTATAATATATACTAAGTGACATATAAATCCGAACACCCAGTTTAAATGGTTTTATTTTAATAAAATTTTGTATAAGTACTCAATGACGCATAATAAGTAAATGATAAAAATTTCAAAATGATGCTGCTTTAAAGTCCTTTGACCTTTAATAATGTGTGGATGCACCCTGATGTGCTACGCATTCTCCAACGCGCCTAGGCATGCTTCTGATCAGGTGGTCAATGTCCTCCTGTGGTATCTCATTCCAGGCAACCACCAACTCCTCTCGAAGTGCTTCTAGAGTCTGAGGAGGACGTTGCAAATTGAGCAATCTCCTACCCATCATATCCAACACGTGCTCAACTGGGGATAAGTCGGGAGATCTTGGTGGCCATGGTAACAATGTGACATCATTATGTTGAAAGAAGTCTATTGTGACTCTTGCAACATGTGGTCGGGCATTATCTTGTTGGAAAGTTGGATCTGCCAGGGTGTCAAGATAGGGTAAAAGATGGGGTTCTAGAACTTCGTGGATATAACGCTGCGCGTTCATGTTACCTCAGATGAAGATTAAAGGTGACCTGGAACCATAAGCTATAGCACCCCAAACCATAACTCCAACAGTGTGATGAACATGTCTTTCAACAAAAAACTGTGAATTCCTCCTTTCACCACCTCGCCTTCTAACCCTGGCACGACCATCGTGCATGCCTAAACAAAATCGAGACTCGTCACTAAAGACAATACTGTTCCATTCCTGATCCCAGAGTGACCGTTGTCTGCACCACTCAAGGCGATTATGTCGGTGTTCTCGAGTTAAAGGGAGGACCCAGTGTGGCCGGTATGAAAACAAGCCAAAACTTCTCATTCGTCGGTAAACACTTCGCATGCCAATAGGTCTTCCGTGTTCTGCAAACCATTCATTTGCAATGGACCTGGTAGTGGAGAAACGGTCCCTTAAGGCCAATAATCTTAGGCGGCGATCTTCACGGTCTGTTGTTCTACGGCGGCGTCCAGTGCCCCTTGCTCTTTGCGTACGGCCTTCTCGAAGCCATGCCTGACAACACCTAACCACAGTGTCTACACTTCTTTGCACTCTAACTACAATTGCCCGAAAAGAAAGTCCAGCTTCCCGAAGTCCCACTATACGGCCCCTATCAAACTCACTAAGTTGACGAAATCGTACAGGTCTCCGTACTCTAGGCATCGTAACCGATCGTAAACGATGTCAAGAACCAAAATCCGCCAAAGTTGATTCTTTACTGCGGCTGAAATATTCATTTTTAGAGCGTTAGTGAATTAAAAAAAAGCAGTATAAAAACCGGAATGTCCAACTGATAAGGCTGAACATTTTTTCGCTTGTTATTTACAGTAAGATAAATACATTCACCAACTTTTATTAAAATAAAACCATTTAAACTGGGTGTTCGGATTTATATGTCACTTAGTATATTTAAATAAACTTTCTCATTATGGATTCCATTCAGCAGCTTTAGCACTAATTCAAAGTTACTTCCATGAAAGGAAGGAATATGTGACTTTCAATGGCCGCACGTCGTACCAGTATGTAACTAAATCGGGAGTGCCTCAGGGTTCAAGCCTTGGTCCTTTATTGTTTACCTTATTTATTGATGATATTGCGCAATATTCAAGTTGTCTAGGTTTCAAATGCGGTCTTTAGAGCTGAGAAGGTGAGGTTCGTCAATTATTTTCTTTCTTAAACTGTAAATGGTTGCAATAAACGCTATTTATTTATTAGTTATTAAATAATCATTATGTCAATTATGAACCAATGAATGGCAAATCAGTGACTTTTTAGGAAACCAAGAAGGCGAGCCCAGAAATAGGAGAAGTGTATTAAGCGAAGCCCTTAAGACCGAGAAAAGTTCTGCAAATTACGTCAGGCCTATCAGTTTTGGTACAATGATATGTCTAACATACGCACTTTTCTTTAACTGATTCAGCCAATAAAATATTAGTAGTGAACATTTTTGCGATGATTCACGTCTAAAAGTTTGGAATTTGCATAATCTCAAAGTCAATGTTGGCTATTTCTTGACTACTTGAAACCCGTTCAGGAGTCATCGACATATATTAACCAGACAGCTACTATTTTTAGATCGCACTGTCTGGAACTCTGGAGTAGTTTCTTCCTTGATATACGGGAGAATTGTGGATATTTCCGTCATAAGAAAAGCAAACTCGTTAGTAATAACTATACAGGGTGTCCCATAATAGGTGTTCAATCTTTGGATTTACGATGCTTATTTGATTAAACTTGTAACACCATCTCGTTGCAAGGTTTTCAATATCTTGAGAATATTACAGTGATTAGTAGTCCAAAAACGCCTCCAGCACTGCATCAAAGATTTCGGCCACCACATGCACAAAGTTGAAACGATTCTGGGAAAATTCGTTTTTTTCGTTCTTTCTCCCGATTTCGAATTTCAAGACTGTCTAAGCGACATCTTGTTATTTACCTAAACACGCAGCTTTACCTCCATTCTAGCCACTTCGTGTCTCTTCCACGATCACAATCGTGAGGATCGAATTATTCCGCAATGACTGTACTATTATATATTTTCGAAAGTGATACCGCATCTTTTTTATATCGAAATCGGTGAATCATGCATCATGCGTTGCAAGAGAGAGAAATTGGGAGAAACAGAGAGAGACAGTGATATTGTACAACCACGTCGTGTAAAAATAGCCATTCTATTTGCAATTTGTTCAGCATCAACTCGATTCTCAAATAATTTCTCTGCAGTGGCATACTTCGTATTTTCGGATCATCGCGGCATATTTTTAAATTCGACTATCCCGAGGTTCGCGGTTAGATTTTCGCGAACTTTTACTGTATTTCATGTGGCCACTAAATTGCTCCGATAAAATTTGACGATAAAAAGCCTTAGTTTGAAAGAAATTATACTAAGTGACATATAAATCCGAACAGCCAGTTTAAATGGTTTTATTTTAATAAAATTTTGTATACGTACTTATAATTACTTAATAAGTAAATGATAAAATGATTGCACTGCTTTAAAGCGCTTTGACCTTTAATAATGTGTGGATGCACCCTGATGTGCTACGCATGCTCCAACGCACCTAGGCACGCTTCTGATCAGGTGATCAATGTCCTCCTGTGGTATCTCATTCCAGGCAACCACCAACGCCTCTCGAAGTGCTTCTAGAGTCTGAGGAGGACGTTGCAAATTGAGCAATCTCCTACCCATCATATCCCACACGTGCTCAATTGGGGATAAGTCGGGAGATCTTGGTGGCCATGGTAACAATGTGACATTATTATGTTGAAAGAAGTCTATTGTAACTCTTGCAACATGTGGTCGGGCATTATCTTGTTGGAAAGTTGGATCTGCCAGGGTGTCAAGATAGGGTAAAAGATGGGGTTCTAGAACTTCGTGGATATAACGCTGCGCGTTCATGTTACCTCTGATGAAGATTAAAGGTGACCTGGAACCATAAGCTATAGCACCCCAAACCATAACTCCAACAGTGTGATGAACATGTCTTTCAATAAAAATTGTGGATTCCTCCTTTCACCACGTCGCTTTCTAACCCTGGCATGACCATCGTGCATGCCTAAACAAAATCGAGACTCGTCACTAAAGACAATATTGTTCGATTCCTGATCCCAGAGTGACCGTTGTCTGTTAGAAGGCGACGTGGTGAAAGGAGGAATCCACAGTTTTTTGTTGAAAGACATGTTCATCACACTGTTGGAATTATGGTTTGGGGTGCTATAGCTTATGGTTCCAGGTCACCTTTAATCTTCATCAGAGGTAACATGAACGCGCAGCGTTCTTTCAACATAATGATGTCACATTGTTACCATGGCCACCAAGATCTCCCGACTTATCCCCAATTGAGCACGTGTAGGATATGATGGGTAGGAGATTGCTCAATTTGCAACGTCCTCCTCAGACTCTAGAAGCACTTCGAGAGGAGTTGGTGGTTGCCTGGAATGAGATACCACAGGAGGACATTGACCACCTGATCAGAAGCATGCCTAGGCGCGTTGGAGAATGCGTAGCACATCAGGGTGCATCCACACATTATTGAAGGTCAAAGGGCTTTAAAGCAGTGCAATCATTTTGAAATGTTTATCATTTACTTATTATGCTTCATTAAGTACTTATACAAAATTTTATTAAAATAAAACCATTTAAACTGGGTGTTCGGATTTATATGTCACTTATATAGTTGGCCTTGAAAAATGAGAGCGTGATTTTGTTCATGTTTTCCGGTGAATTGAGACCAATACGAAGATTTCCTTATTAAGCAATTAAAGTTTCATAATTTATAATGGCAATCCATGTCATTGAAATCGGAAATCCAAAAAAACTAAAGGAATACTTGGTTGATGATCTGAAACCAATGACCATCTGGTAATTTCAAGGCCTACATTGGAAATTCCATTTCTCAAAAATCGTGATTTGACAATAACAATACAAAATTCAGCACTCCAAATTTCAGAATGGTGGATTGACGCGTTGTCGAATTGGACGGTTTTTCAGTACAAAACACCTTACATCTCATTAGCTAATTACCAAAACCCCATAGTATGTATATCAATACTCTTCTTTTGAATTGGTTTATCCAAATGTGCAATAAAATTTGAGGCAATCCATTTAAAAAATCACAACGTTGATATGTAGGTCAAAATTTGGACACTCTGTATAATTGCCAATATTTCAGAAATGTGCCCTCAAATGTCATACATGCCATGAATAGGTTTTCCCAAAATGTATTTGTTTATGAGTAATATTCCGTCCACACATGGATGGGCCACCCTGTATACTCACTTAACACACGCATTTATACTTTATCTGAAGTCACTTGAAACACTGTGAAATACCGGGTGCGTTTTATATATCTATATTTAACACGCTCTGTTGCTGCAAAAATCGCCAAATTTCGCAGCAAATATCCCCCCGTATAAGATCAAAAGCAGTTTCACCGGTCCACGTGGAGTAAAGCACGCCTATGCGTGGACATAGCCAATGAGAAAGCGTGTATTTCAGAGCTCCGAACAAGTGCAGGTGGCTACTGAAAATTGAAACAGTTTAGCCAGTGCCGTGTAGCGGTGAATAAACGTGTTTTCTTTAGTCTGTCCGTGTTTTTTCATAGATTTTATTAGTTTGTGTGTTTTTGACTTTTGATTACTCAGTTTACTTGTTGATTTAATTGTTGTGTTGATTGTTCTTGTGTGTCCTAAATATGGCTCTTTGGAGACCTTGGGAAAATGCTCCAAGCCACGAGGAGATGGTTGATGAACCTGTGCAGGCAGAATTCTTTCATAAAGATTTAGAGGAACAGACCCAAAGAGTAATCCTAAATATGTATGATTGTCTGAAAAACGAAAATCCAGATTCCTCGCAAAGTCAAATTTTAAACAGAATTTGTATCCTGACAAAAATCAGTCGGTCTACCATTTATCGGGTTATAAAAAGGGGAGATGTAGTCAACCATTCCTTCCACAGAAAGCGCATAGGGCAAAAATTAAAAAGAATAGACGTGGGTTTTCAGGAAGATATTCGTCGTATAATATACGGATTTTATAAAGAAAATTTGGTGCCCACGTTGGAAATGATACGGGATAAATTAAAAGATTATCCTGAAGATTTTTATAATTACAAATGCTTAGACTCACTGCACTGTATTGTAAAACTGTGTGGTTTTCAATACAAAAAATTAGATAAAAGAATGGTGATTATGGAGTCGTCTCGAATCGTTGAATTGCGCCAAGAATTTTTGCACAAAGTTAAAATCTATAGAGAGCAGAAACGAAATCTGATTTACCTGGATGAAACGTGGTATGATACCCATGATGTTGTGCAGTACGGCTGGGTTGACGACAGCAACAAGTGCATTTTAAATGCGCCATGCAACCGTGGAAAACGAATCATTATTCTCCATGCTGGCAGTGAAAATGGATTTATACCTAATGCCTTGCTGTTATCTGCCAAAAATATCAAAGAATCATGTGCCGACTATCATGAGGACATGACCTCCGACTTATTTGAAAAGTGGATAGAGCAGCAGTTAATACCAAACATTTCCCCAAATTTAGTGATTATTATAGACAATGCGCCATACCATTCCCGACAGAAAAACAAAATTCCGAATACAGGCACAAAAAAACAAGACATTATTGATTTTATGAAGGATAAGGGAATGGAAATACCACAAAAATCAACCAAAGCCATATTATTGGATCTTATTAAAAGACAAAAATTTGAAAAAGAGTATGTTGTTGACAATCTGCTTCAGCAAAATGGCCATGAAGTACTACGTCTACCTCCCTATTACTGCATTTTTAACCCGATTGAGTTGGTCTGGGCTGCTTTAAAAAAAAGTACGAAAACATAATCAGACCCCTCAATTAAGTGAATCGCTATTGGCCACAATAAGAGATGCAGTATCTCATATTGCTGCCACAGACCTATGGAAGCAGTGTTCTAGGCATATTATTGAAAAAGAAAATGAATATTGTGTTTTGCCTCCTGTAAATCCCGTTGTAATTCCTCTACAAGATGACTCTAGCGACAGCTCCGAAGGCGAGGATGATATATAAATACCTATAATGTAAGTCTTTATATACCTTTTTATATACCTACCTGCTATGTAAATATTTGCCCATGTCAAATGTTGGAATTCTGTAATTTTTCCATTTCTTAACTTTCAGTCAACATAAATTAAACTCCCAATATAAGTATTTTTTATCCCAAATCAAAAAAATAAGAAGATAGTAAAATCCATTTATTGTGATATAAAAACATTATTATTATCGTTCTAAATAAATGACTGCACGCCTATGATACGTCATGAAATTACAAAGGACGCGCCGACCAAAGGTTTTTATGCTATTTAAAATGACTTCACATAAAGTATACTTTTGTCAATAAAAGCATTACGAGTCTAAATATTTATTTCCGTTTTATCCGAAATTTCGATTATCCGGAAGCAC